AATCGAGCTTCAGAGGAGGATTCAACATGGAGCAAACCCAGCACAAAGCTGCCAGCTTGGAGAAAGGAGTGAGGAGCCTACCAGCTACAAGGAAACTGAGGTGAATATGCCTTGTTTAGCCTAACAAAATGAGAACTGAGGGGAGGTATGATGACTCTATAAATGCATCAAAGTAAAAACAGCAACAGGGGATAATGATTATATTAGCTAAAAGAAAATATTGGCACAGGAGCTAATGGATGCAAGCCAACCATGAATTCACTTTGGTTGGGATTCAGAAGACACTTTCTTACTATCAGAAGAGTGACATTCTGGAGCATCCTTTCAGTGGAGGTTGTAGGAGGAAGAGGCATGATTGCTTTTAAGATAAAGATCGATCAGTTTACAATGGGGATTGGATGACAGCATGCCCACAAAGCAAGGAACAGCCTTGGACGACCTAGAGCATTTCATTAAGTTTGGTGAAAGCATTGCAAATTACCTGCTATGTAAACAGCTGCAAGATATGAAATGCCTTGCAACAACATTCCTTCTCCACACATGTACCATTCTGGAATGCACAGGGATGGACAGGACACTTGTTTTTATTCACCTGGTCCCTGGATCAATGTGTCTTCTTATTGCCTTTCTCATGCCAAAATACGCTTGGTGTCTGGAGCTCTTTCCACACTTTGCCTCTTACTCACATCTTCGCATTAGCACTGCAGCTGATGGCACACCACAGCCATAAGATTTGCATTAGTTCAGTTGGCAATTCAAGAATTGTGTGGGCAGTATCATCCTGTTGACAGTCTCCCTCTGCACCTTCCGTTGCCACTTTTGTAGAAGCATTGAATCATTAAGGTTGGAAAAGACCACTAAGATTATTTAGTCCAACCACCCAACCACGCTTGTTAAACCTTGTCCCTCAGTGATCCATTCACACTTTTCTTGAAAACTTTCAAGGACCTTGTAGCTTTTCAGGGTGTAGTGAAGACTTCTGCTCTTCCCAAAAATTCTCATCTCCAAATGCAACATCTCTAGCTGGAAGCAGAATCAAATAGGCAGCCTACTTTCATAGAAATAGCCATGACCCATCAACATTATTTGAAGAGAATAGGGTTGCCTTTCCCTCCAACTGGCATCAAATGCAGGTCTCCTCAGCATGTTGCCTGTGGCCATTGAGAAGTATTTCTGCACTGCTGTCACTGGGGTTTGCACAAATGCATGGCTGGTAAGACATCTGAGTGTGACTGATGTGATTTGGAGCCCAGAGCACACTCTTCCTGTCTGGAATCCATTATTCCTGCTGTAATGCATAGTTTGTTTCCCCACCAGATGGAGGAGAATGTTGCCTTTCCATCTCTCTCAGCATGTGAATAGGAGCAGCAGGAGAAGGTGAGTGTCCATTGTGACAGATGCTGTGGCTCTAGGGGATATTCAGGCTGTGGTACTGATGTTACAAATGACTGCACACACCCTTGTGGCTTTGTTAATGACTATATTCCCAGCTGAAGAAGTAAGGAAATGAATGCTTCCTGCAGAAACTGGAGATAAATGGGAAGTAATTTAAGTCAATCCCCAATACTGAAACAACGCAGATGACAAATCTTTTGAATTTTTGCATCTCTAGAGAAGCAAGCCTATGCTCAAATAGTGCTTGATTGCCTTCTTTATATATCAGGCTAAGGAAATTATACAGCTGGGGTAATTGCCACCCAGTGTTTATTTTACCTGAAGTCCACTGTAACATTATAGTCACTTCATCCATAAGAATTTCCATAACCTTTTAAAATGCATTTATTTCTCAGAGGGCAGTTTGATAGCTGGTGACATACAGGTGTTGTAATGTGCACAGAGTAGAATGCCTGTGCAAAGCAAAACAGACTTTTCATGGAAAGGCAGAGATCAGGGTTTTAATCCAGGTCTCATTCCAGTCAATGTCAAATCATCTTGGAATCTAGGAAAAAATTACAGAAAAATGGGACAGGACTGAAAAAAGGTTTTGGAGTTTCAAAGTATGATGAAGAACTGATAATTGTTCATACAGCTCTGAGAGCTGCATTTAATTTTGTATGTAATGTGGCTGTGGGCTTCTGCTCATCTTACTGTTCACTGTTTTGATATTCATTGCACTTGAGAGTCACTGGGCTGAGTACTAAAAAAGCACCAAAAAAAAAGAGAGGGCTATTGAATCTGGAAACTTGCTCCTCAGTATAGGCAGCAGACAGACAGGAACAGATGGTGGATATAATGTGGGAAAAGCATGACCACTCAGTAGTGTGGCTTAATGGGCAGTAATCCCTAGCACAGAACTAATCTCACATCAAGCATAAGCAAGTATATGCACATCCCAAAATGCTTTGTATTGTTAAGAGTTCTTCAGTCAGTATGCATCTCATTGCTAAGGAGACACCTGAGGGAACACACTGAGTACTCTTTTAGCAGTTTGTCTCCCTGGAATGTAGGCAAAAGAATGCAAGATGCTCTGAGTAAAATCAATGAGGAATATTCTCAAAATACTCTGAGATTGGCTAATGCTGCACATCAGATCTTAAAAAGTATGGAGACTCTCTGCTTTTCTGATTCCCTCACTACAACCTTTTCAATTCAAGGATACAAAAATAAAGGAAGGGAGGGAGGGAGGAAGGAAGGAAGGAAGGAAGGAAGGAAGGAAGGAAGGAAGGAAGGAAGGAAGGAAGGAAGGAATTCTGTTGAGTGTGAAGGATTTGAAGCAGTTGCCACTCTTGGATTTGCTGTCAGCATCCTACATTTCCCCACCCAACCTTTATAGTCCAGGTGTACACTCTGAAAGGATTTCTAGATTTTCTAGTACAGGGAAAGACTGAATTGCTTAATACCAGCCAGAAAATGCTAGTGATTTGTGTTGGCTGGTTCTTTGTATTAGCTCAGAAAAATGGGAATGATTGAAATGAGCTTTTCTGTACATTTCTGCTCTGATGAAAAGTGCAGTAGGAAGGACTACATGTTGTTATTGTTGTTATTACTATTACTATTACAATTACTACTACTCCTACTATTATTATTTTCTGTGGGAGGAAGGGCACATAAGTAAGTCTCACCAAGGGAAATCTGAATGATTGGTGCTTCAGTAGCTTTATATGCAAGTATCCTGCTATATGCTTATTTTTGCAAATTCATCTGCAAATTCATTCTCTCTCCTCCACAAGCAATCACCGTCACATTCTAATACCTCTGAACCATCCAGCGCTGAAAACATTAAGCTGTAGGGGAGCTTGAATCCTTTCTCATTTTATGGTACAGGATATTAAACATACCTTCCCTGCACATTTACTGGCTATCATTATCAAATACTTGTCATCATCAAATACCAGGGTAATTTAGGCGTTCGATTTTCAAAGCAATCTCTGTTCCTTTAGGCTGCACCTAGCCTCTCCCACCATGCTAATGTCTTATTCTGACTTGCTGCTGTTTCCTTTAGGCTGACATGTCCAAGCACTTCCAGGCATTGCCTGCTGCTTCCATGAAGTCTGTAGCACCAGCAAGATGGCAAAGAGCACGGCATGGTGAGTTCAGCCTCTGGTAAGGTTCTGGCCATAAATCTGCAAAGGCACTTTTCCACTGGCTTATGCGTTGGAGAGCAAGGAGCACTTTTAGAGAGTTTTGTCTGCAGCAGACATGCATGTGTACATGCACGGCAACCTCTGCACAGCTCTTGTGTTTATCCTAAGAGCTAGTGGAGCTGTGCATTGTGGTTGAGCAACTTTATTACCATCTCTAATACGGATCACGCTATACATTCGTGTAGTGTAACAGACATTGGCCCTTCTCCCTTTTTAATTCCTCTAAGCCCTACTGTAATGAAGAAATTGTGTTCTGTATTCCTTAAGTAACAAAACCATCAGCAAGACCAGAAAGCAGATGTGTAAGCACTGGGGAAGCAGCATATCAGTGATGGGACAGGTTTACCTTCATTTATGGCTGGGAATTGTGGTCTGCAGGCAGCACGTGACTGGCAGTGGTCCCTGACAGTCATGAGTATCTGCGAGCATCAAAATAAAAGGAAGAGTCCTGCATCAGTAGAGATGATAGGGTTTAAGCTAAGAGTCAGCTGAGGTTTGTTGAACAGGGACCTTTGAGCAAACAGAGCAGTCAGTGCCTGACTAATTGCACACAAGTGCTGCCTCTGTAACTGCTTAGTAACAGGATTTCACTCTTTCCTATAGATCCACTGCAGTAAGCATAACCAGCCAAAACCAACCTACCCTGCATACAGAGCCATCTCTAGGCCTTGTCTATTAAAAAGCCATGGTGAGAGGGGAAGCTGTGTCATGATGCTGCAGGACAAGTTCAGGGTGGATAACAGGAGAAACTTCTCGGGAAGAGCGGTGCTGCAGTGGCACAGGCTGCCCAGGGAGGTGGTGGAATCACCGTCCCTGGAGGTGTTCCAGAACCGTGTGGATGTGGCACTGAGGGACGTGGTTAGTGGGCGTGATGGGGTGGGGTGGCGACTGAACCTCGGATCTTAGATTTCTTTTGCAACCCGTATGTCCCGCTCTAGGCTTTGGAGCACGACTCTTCCCGCCAGCCCGCCCATCGATGCTCTCGGCAATCCCGTTCACCGCCTCCTGCCCCGCCCCCACTCCTCGTTAGAGGCGCTCGGCGCTCGGCTGACCTCCCTTGGCGCCGGGCGGCAGTCCCTTGTCTCCTTCTCCAAGATGGCGGTGGCGGGAGGCATCGCGGCGCGAAGCGGCGGCGCGGAGTGAGGCGGCCGCGCGCCTCCTACCTTCCCCTCCCTCCGTTCGGCACCGCAGGCCGACAGCGCTCGCCGCCACGGGGGCACGCCCAGGCCTGCTGCAGGGGCGGAGCCGCGGGCTGGAGTGAGGCCGGGGCCCGCTCGGGTGAGAGAACGAGCGAGCGGCGGGCGGGAGCGAGCGGGGCGGCTGAGCCCGCTTCAAACGGAGGCGGCGGGGCCGGGGCTCGTGCCTGAGCCCGGGATGTGGGGCGTCTGCGGACCTGGGCTCGCGTCAGGCTCTGGGAGCGGTGGCGGGAAGTGAAGCGAGGGAGCCGGTCCCACCCGGGAGGACAGAAACGCATCAGCCCCCCGGGAGAGCACGCAGGGCCTCGGTTCTGCAGCCGTGGGTGTGAGGGAACGGGAGCGTGGGAAGAGCGCTGCTCCCAGTGCTTCCTCAGTGCCGGAGCAGTGGAACTGAATGGCAGTTGTAGTGCAAGACAAGTTCAGGCTATGTTCTTTATGCGCAGGGTCTAGGTCGTGTGTTCCTTTAGGTGTTATCTACCAGTAAATATAGCTGACAGGCTGCTTGCCTAAGCTTCAAAAAGAGATTGGAAGCTGTGCCTACAGCTACCATAGTGTTACAGAGGGATCCATAAGGACTGTCGAGTCCAACCCCTGGCTCCACACTGGACCACCCAAAACTCAAACTCTGTGTCTAAGACTGTTGCCCACATATTCTCCAAGTCATCTCTTCATGAATGACTGTCATCAGCTTTGGTTTGCTGAGCAGTATTTATCACCAAACATCCCTAGTTGGAAGGCACCCACAAGGATCATTGAGTCCAACTTCTGGCTCCTCACTGGACCACCCAAAATCAGACCCTGTGTCTGAGAGCATTGTGTGAACACTCCTTGAATTCAGGCAGCTTGAGTCTGTGACCATTGCCATGAGGAGCCTGTTCCAGGACCTGACCACCCTCGATATTTAAGGGTAGGCCCTGAGCACGGTGCTTCAGTATTGTGTGTGCTCCTGCTGAAGTCCATCAGATTACGAAGAGCTGAGCATCAGGTCTTTTCAAGATCTCCTTTAAGATTGTCAGATCTTGTAATGGCAAGATGCTTGTGAAGCTGTTGGGTGCGTGCACAAATTCTGCCTGCAAATTGAGGTGTTTACTAACAACAATGTCTGGTGGTCAGAATGGTGACTGGAAACATCTTGAGTTGGGTGGTTTCCCAGAACTTGTGTTCTCTTGAATTCTCACAGACTTCAACAGAAACACCTGTGTAACCCTTAGCTTGAATTAGTTGCAACTTTGTTCTTTCACGTAAGTAACCACAATCAGATGAATACTTTGTACCCTCCCAGCCATTTGTTTATTAACTCAATGTATACACAAAGATGTAGTGCAAGTTCCCTGATCTCGAAGTAACTTAAATGTGGCTCCATGCCTGTGACAGCTAGAAAGGGCAAACTGCATCATCTTTGTGGCTGAGCATTCGCACACAAACAACATTAAAAAATCATTTAAGTGCAATTGGTTTAATCTCTTATGAAAAGAGGTAATCTTTTCATGTTAAGCCATTTGCTTACCTCACTTTTGAAGAACAAAATCAGTTTTCTTAGAGAACCGAAGTGCAGCTATTGCATAGTGGTGCTGTTCTTCTGTATGCTAGCAGCTGTAGAATAGAATAACTCAGAAGAGACCTGAGATTTGGAAGCTGCCAGGGGAAGGGTGCTGCAGAAGCCCTAGTAAAAAAGAGCACTTTCCACTGTTTCCTTTCCCGTGGCTGGCATTCAGAATGGCTGCAGTGGTAGTGTCAGGAAACTCATCAGCAAGATGTACACCTTCACTACAAAATGTGAAACCCTTAAGCTCAGAGGATTTGAAACAATCCTTATAAAGCACAATGATTCATGCCTGTCTTTTCCTTTGCTTCATCTGAAATTCAAGAATTCGTTATTTCTCTTTAACTGTCTCACTCTTTGCTACAGTGGTTTCTGCCAAAACATGTCTTTAATACAAGTTCAGGTACAATTTCATTTGTGACAAAAATCAAACAGCTATATTCTCCCCACTTTCCATTTCTGTGGATAAATTACGTAAGTAACCTGGAGATTTTACAAGGAAGAAGTGGTCCTGCTACATTTTTAAAATAACAAACAACAAAAAAATCTCCATCTTAATTTAAAAAAAAAAAATTCCATCACATCTGAAGGATGAGTGAGGAAGAAGACTTTCCCACTGTCTTCCAGAGAATCTTCATTTTGTTCGGGTGTTGTTTCCCATTTTACATCGTGGTTCTTCCTGATGGGAGGGTTATTTTCATTCTCTGTTTCTCAGAACTTTTCCTGTAGATGGGAACAGGGGAAGGAGCCCAGACGTGGCAACATATTCTCAGGCTTCTGCAGGACCACCATGGCTTATGATGACTCCAAGAAGAAAGAAGGTATGACTGCTTCATAATCTCAGAGGGAGTAGCCAAGAAAAAGGGTACACTCTGCAGCCCTTACCGGGTCACTGAGTCAGAAAGTGGAAAAGGAAGTTAGTCTCCTGTGGATCATTGAAGGGTATTAACCTTTCAATTTTATCTGGACTAGTTTTTGCAGGATCCCAAGCCCTTGACTTCCAGATGAAAAGTAATGGGATTAGAGAAACGGGTGGTATTTCATAGAGCAAACACCACAATTGGGAACTCTGCCACTGCAGCCTTTCTCCTCCCAGCCAGGCCAATGAAACGGGAGGCCGGGGGTATGGTTAGTCATGGCAACGTTTTTAAGTTCAGTTATCTTCAGAAAGAAATCTAAAAGGATTAGAAATCAAATCTTGAGAACCTGTGTTATAGCAGATTATACTGGAGCACTGAACCCTGTCCCGTGTCAGAAAGTACAGAATATTATCTCTTAGTCTCTAGTGCTTGCTGGGTTTTGTGCATCATTCTGTGCCAGCGTTCAGTGCTGTACTATTTTGTATGTAGTCCATGTGTCTGTTGTCTCTTGACATGGTATCTCATTTTTCTTTCTTTTCTTGTTTCACATTCATCTTAGAATTCCTAGAGAGTGACCGAAGTGCTGATGACATCAGAGCACATCGAGAGAAAAAGCGATATTACAAGGATGTCGTGCAAGAGGAGGAGAGGATAACAGCTCAGGTCAGAAAGCCTGCAGAGAAAACTTTGAAGGTGTAAGAAAGTGTATAAAGCTTGAGACAAGATGGAATGGGTTGCTTAAAAGTCCTTTTGTATAGAAAAATTCCTGTAGAAGAAAGCAAGAGCTGTTAATTGTGTCCTGAATTGTTCGGTAGCTTCGCCGGGTAAATGGAGGGGGTCAGTCCCAGTTAAAACTGATTCTGATTTCTTTGCCTCAGAAAATAGGGCAGTAGTATCTTTTTCTAGACTTGATGTACAGCCCTGCAAATACTGAGATAGTCTGAATGACTTTTTACATAAAAAGTAATATTTTTAGAATGTATAGTTGCATAAAAAGGCAGCAAAGTATGAATAAAATATGAACTCGTGGCTGTTGCAGACAGCCTGAAATTATAGCTGTTGAGAGGTATAAATTTGCCCTGTTTCCCTGGGGCCTTAACTCCAAAATCATGAAGCAACAGCTTAAGTTTCTTTAAAACTTTCCTCTTGGAGCTCTGCTCTTAGATTCTGCTGTTAGCTCAAAGGTGGCTACTTGCAATTGTTTTTAAAATTTTCAATTCTGGAAAAGAAGATCTAGTTTAAAAATGAAAATCTTCTGCCACATATTTGAAATGCTATAGAGGAACTTGATTTTCAGACCATAAATTGGTAAAGAGATTATAATTGGCTTACATGAGCTACCAAGGTCCATTTTCTGGCCCATCATTTTGATTGTCACCTCTCTGTGCCTTCTTTCACTTCTTTTATCTTCTTCACTATATTAAATATGCGCTGCTCACTTTCATTTTTAAAGCTTGACAGCCTGTGCACACTTAGTTATTTCTCAGCTTGATTAAGAAGTGGCTGTCTTTTACCAGCTCATCAGCTGATGTCCAAGTGCTGTCTTTCATTGTCTGTTTCTTCTCAAGTGTACTTTTTCAAGTATTCCTGTGTATTAATTCTTCCACTGAAGGAGGGATCCCTATAGAGATTTGTATTTCAGTTTCGTTATGGTCCTATTGTACTGCAGTTTCCAAAGAAAGCTTAATGCCTCTTAGTTGTCTGGTATGCTGAAGCCTATTCTAAAACTGCATTTTTTTGTTCCCTCGTGTATCTGTACTATGCTTTTTGCCTTTTACGTTAAACCTACACTATGGATTCCTGGTGACATACTATGTTTTCTTCGCTGATTTAGCACCTATAATAAGAGTACTGATTCATACATAGGCTTGCTTGGCATTATAGTAGTACTAGTATCTCTTGATACCTTCCACAAATTATTATGTCTGTCAGCAGTCCATGTGAATCTCATATTATTTCCATCTCGTTTGTCAGCTTTTTTTTTGTTATTATTATTATTATTCTAGGACAGTGAGCTCTTTTCGGGGACAGAACATCACAAAAAGAAGAGGAAGCATTCCTCCGATGAGTTCTGCTCCAGGGGTAAGACAGCAATCAGACAGGGGAAGCAGATAATGAACTTGGAGGAAAGTATGCTGTTAAACCAATGGCATCAAACGCTGCGGTTAGAGCTTTATCAGGGGGAAAAGAACACCAACTGGGCTTAGGCCAAGTAGTCAGACACCTGACTGATTGGGTTTCTGCTGCACCAAAAGCTAAACATCAGTACATGATGTTTTCAGAGTTTAGCTTAACAAGTTGCTGTTGTTGGAGCAGAGATCTTCCACTCGTCTGTTCACTGTCAAGTTGTAGTTTTCTAACTCATACCTTCCTTTTTGGCATTTGCATTCTTTTTTTTCCCTATTGCATTACAAGCTGCAGTCTTACTTGCAGATGGTACTAATTAATTTATCTGAATTAATAAAAATAGGATGTGTCGGAATGTGATATGATTACTTATGAACAATATGAACAATATGATTACTTTTTGGTTCAGTTTGTATACAGAAGCATTATTCTCACAATGAAAAAGCTGCCCAGAAAATGACAATCCTGTTCATAGAAGCTTAACTGGCTGAAGATTTATTTTTGTCCCAATGCGAAAAGAAAGCCAAGTCTTTGGAATATCTTTGCAAGCTGAAATTAGTAAAAAATCTATTTTCAGAATGAAAAAGTTCATGCTATCAGTTCATTGGTCCCTCCAGGGCTAAAAGTAGTGTTATAAGCTTGTAATATTTCAGGCTTAGTAAGGTATATTTTTATCAAAATATGCTGGTTTGTGTTAGAATACAAACTTTGATGAAATGCAAGAACTTTCCCGTTCTGTCCTTCTTCATTAAATAGATTGACCAGCTCTGGTGTTACAGGTCCTGAATTGTTTTCTGTAAGGACACACTGAGCTGACTGCAAGTTTCAGAGACCTCCTTCAGCCAAGATGAAAATCACTTAGCTGTAATAAGCATTGCAGGATTCCCACTTCACTTTTGGTTTGTGTAATGCCATCTTTAAGAGAATTGTCTTGATGAGCAGCTCTCTTGACCTTTTTCAGGTCTTTCATCTTTGGATCTACCATCAAAGAAGAAAAAAAAAGCAGTTTCTAGCCCATCCTCCACTGACAAAAACATGGATCTACTCAAGGCTATCGCCACACCTTTGTCCACAAGCTCTAAGTCTTCAAAGAAGACCTCTGAAAAATCATCTTATTCTTCCTCTGGACATTCTGAAAGCAGAAAGGAGCACCACAAGAAGAAGATGAGTGGGAGCAGTGCAGAGCACTCCGTGGATGACAGCAGCTTCCACAAAACTAAAAAAATGAAACCTCTTTACGTGAACACAGAGACACTTACTCTTCGTGAGCCCGATGGCTTGAAGATGAAACTTATCCTTTCACCAAAAGAGAAAAGCAGTGCAACAGATGATGATTCTTTCTCAAGAAAGTCCTCAAAGAAATCGTCTCGAGATGAACAAGGGTCATTCCATCTGGGTCACGAACTGCACAGCTTCCTGAAGTCATCTCGGAAGAAGCACAAACCTCCAGACTCACATCCCCCTTCTGAGACTTTTGGTACTGAAACATCTGTTTTTTCAGAAGGCCATGGGAGTGAGTATGAGATTTCAGGTATGGAGGCACAGCCAGAATCAGGATCCTCTTCTGGTGGGGAATTGGAGGCCGGTGAGCTAGTGATAGATGACTCCTACCGGGAAATCAAGAAGAAAAAGAAGTCAAAAAAAAGTAAGAAAAAAAAAGACAAGGAGAGGCACAGAGAGAAGAGGCACTCTAAGTCTAAGAAGAGTTCAGGGCACTCTTCTGTGGCAGTAACAGAAATAACAGTATCACCACCTCCTCCTCCCAGCGCTCCCTATGTTGTTCCTCCACCTCATCCTACTGTTTTTCACTCAGATGGACAAATTGAGAAGAGGAGGAAAAAGGAAGAAAAGGAGAAGGAAAGAACTGAGAAGTGGGAAAAAGAAAAGGAAAGAGAAAAGGAGAAGGAAAGAGAAAAAGAGAAGGATAGAGAAAAGGAAAGAGAAAAAGAAAGAGAAAAAGAAAAAGAAAAGGAAAGAGAAAAAGAAAAGGAAAGAGATAAAGAAAAGGAAAGAGAAAAAGAAAGAGAAAAAGAAAAGGAAAGAGAAAAAGAAAGAGAAAAAGAAAAAGAAAAGGAAAGAGAAAGAGAAAAAGAAAAGGAAAGAGAAAAAGACAAAGAAAAGGAAAGAGAAAAAGAAAGGGACAGAGAAAGAGAAAAAGTAAGGAAAAACTAGGGGAACTATAAATTGGGTGTTGGGTACTGTTAAATTACACATTGTTACAAAGGCATGTTAAATTGAAGATTGAGTAATTTCGGCATTGACTTCACAGCATATTTGGTGGAAATGTTTCCACTACTGTGTTCCAAGCTTTTAGCAGAAGGAGTATTAATTATTGTTTCTTTGTTTTGTGACATAGGCAGTCTTTAGCCAATATAGTTCCTTTGAAAATGTTATATTTTATATACTTGGTACAGGTTATGTTACCACTGCATCATTTGCTAAGGTAGCTGGTTCTTGCTATTACCAGTAGAATTCTAAGCTGTTCTGGCTGTCATGTAGTCCATCATGACAGTTCCTATAGGAAGGAACTAAGTTGTAAGCTCAAATACTGAAGTTATTTATCCATTTATTGGAGTATGTCTAAGATTTCCAGTCAGAATAATTTTCAATGTATATATATGGATAGACAAGGAGAAGAAATTTTTGTACATCCACACAGACAAATGTTGCTTTGTGTCAACAAATGGGCAGACATAGCCCAAATTTACTCAGCTATTTTGCTTTATGTGTAAACTTTCCTTTGATCAGAGCCTGACAACTGCTTATGCATCTGTTATCAGTGTACTTGTACAGACAGTTTTCCTGAAAGTATGAAGTAATTAGTAAGAATCATTTAGAAGGAACAAAACATGAACATTGAAATTGAACAAAAACTGAACTGCTTTGATAGATCCACGTTGGTACAGTGGGACAGTTGTGGGTTTTTTTCAATTGTAAAACTGAGATATGTTTACAGTTATTTGTTGCTCCTGGATATAGCAACAATTTTGAATTAGGAATGTGATGCATCAGTAGTTGTTGCAGAACAAGTCTTCCATTAAAACTGATTCTGGCCAGTTCCTATTGCTTTCAAAACTGCTAAATTTGGCCACAACATGTAGAACGTGGCTATTTTATCTTCCTTATCCAGTCACTGTGTCTTTCTTTAAGTCTTTGATAAATGTCAAATCATTAATAAAGTTGAGTATGTCTCTTTATAATTAAAAACCTTTGTTTCCTTTTTTCTTCCGTCCAGCCAAAGAAGAAAAACATGTCTGCCTATCAAGTGTTCTGTAAGGAATATCGTACCAATATTGTGTCTGAGCACCCTGGGATAGGTGAGAGAAAAGTGTAGCTTCTCTTCTCTTCATTATACATCAGTCTAATTAATTAGCAGGACATACCTTCTCTTTCATACTAACCTCTGATTTTTCGAAGCAGTAAAAAGGACAGAAATTGATTTTATGATTTGCTTCATTGTATTTTAACCAAGCTGTTAATCTGGATGAAGAAATTTCCTACTCTTTTCTTTCATTTACTTAAAGAGTTGTTTTCTTTGTGTTATTTTTCTGCATATTCATGTGTGATCTTGTATTTCCTGAGTCACTGACAGTAAGGAAATACACAACGGAAATCATTTTTAGATCCATTAGTGTGGAAAAGGGATTACTTTCTAAATGTGTGTGCATAGGCCAGTTTTTCACACTGTTGAAATTCACATAAATTCCTTGTATCCTTACCATGATTTTATCCTTTAATCTATTTTGAGCATTTCTATTTTTCCTCCTAACAGATTTCGGAGACCTTAGTAAAAAGCTGGCAGAAGTTTGGAAGCAGCTACCTGACAAGGATAAACTGGTAAGTGCATGTGAGATGTTTCTGTGAAATGATTGTTGTAAACTAGGTGCTTAGGTCAGAACACAGCGGTGTTGTTGCTCAATACCTTAAAAAAATGTTACCTCTGTCCCCAAACTGTGGGAAAATTGATGATTTTGCCTGTGTGCTCATAAAAGCATCCATTTACTTCTCGTGGCATTGCTTCACCAGTTGGCTACGTAATGTTATTCCACCCTGAGGTCTTGGCGTCAGGTAAACTAATTATCGAACATTGTGAATCTGTTTTTATACCATGGTAACTGCAGATCTGGAAACAAAAAGCTCAGTATCTGCAACACAAGCAAAATAAAGCAGAGGCCACCACTGTGAAGAGAAAGGCATCATCTTCAGATGGAGCTCCAAAAATAAAAGGTAATTGCCACACTTTATTTGCTCTACTTGTCGGGTTTATTTTGGAGCGGGGAAGCTGGTGTCTTTACATTTAACTCATCATGTCACTCAACAACAGTGTTTCTTCAAGAGCAAGAATGATATCAGCACTTTTCAAAAAGTCTAGTTAGTAGAATGGTATTGGTTGTAGCAATTCAGGAATTGAAACATGAAGAACTCAGGGAAGTTCTAGTGGGAATATCTTGCTGCAGTATGAAAAAGGGTTGTTCTTGCTTTGGCATCTCCGTTTACCTAATCTCCCAAAACTATCAAATCACACTCAGCTGAGGTACTTGCTTTGCATGGCAGTGAAGGCAGGCTCTGTTCTCCAAAGGTCCACATAACTATTAAACATCTAATACCTTTGATATTTGATCTTCAGGAAGTAAATAGGCTTCTAGGTAAAAGAGTCAAAGTAGATAATACAGAATTTTAATTCCTGTGTTTTCAGCTTCTCCACCAGGAGCCATTTCCCCTCATAAGAAATCTCCCACCAGCACTGTAGTGTTGCCTTCCTCACCAGCCAAAGCCCCTGAGACTGAGCCTATAGATGTAGCTGCACACTTGCAGTTGCTGGGTGAATCTCTGAGCCTCATTGGACACAGACTGCAGGAAACAGAGGTGAGTTTGTCCCCAGCAGTGATGTCACACCATCATGCATAGGACTGGAGAGATTATTCTTTTTGTCTCGAGCCTTTAGGAAAGGAAAAAAAAAACATCAGAGAAGGCCTTTACCAAGATGTTTTAGCATGCCCTGTTGTTTTCTCCTAGTATCATGCTCCCAGTGCTTTCATTAGCCACTACTATGATTTCAGCTAATATGCTAATGTAGGAGATGTCATATTTTCCAGTGGTTTCCTAATGTTAAATGATAGTAATTGTCTGCATACCTGCACACGTACACACACACACACACACACACACACACACACACATACAGAGGTTTAGAACTCAGCCTAGCTTGTAAGCAGAGGACATATTTGGCTAAAATAACAAATATCAGTGAATTTTATGGCTAACAAGGTCATCTCACTATGTTTTTTTGTTTTAACAGCAATAAAATAGATGTTACTGCATTTTGTTTCTGCTACGACCTCACTGAGGTTATTCTTCAGAAGAATAAATGGAGTAAAAATCAATCCCTTTACAGAATTGCATGCGAACACATTCCCTTTTTGAAAGTATATTGATAACTAAAGCATTTTTACAGACTTACCATTTCTTTAGGCTTCAATAATAAAACATTATTGCCTCTAGCTAATACAGTAGAAGGTACAAAATGGAAAGGAAATTACGTGGCGTAAACTGTGGAACTAAATTTGTACACAAAACTGACAACTTTCCAACATTTTCTGCTGTTCCTACATCAGAATGTTGCCTATTGAATTCTTGATATTTTTTTTTTCTTTTTCTGAGCTAACAGACTCTCTGTGAAGTGCTTTGCATTGCTTTGTAGGCATGTAAATAATGGAAGTGAACTAGGGAAGTTCAGTAATGAAGATTGTGTGAATGAGAATCAACATAGTTGTGAAGGATCCACAATTTCTGCTGTTTGCCCCTATCCAATTTTTCTTTCCTTACTTCCAGGGAATGGTGGCTGTTTCAGGAAGTTTGTCAGTACTTCTGGATTCTATCCTCTGTGCTTTGGGGCCGTTAGCATGTCTGACTACACAACTACCTGAGTTGAATGGCTGCCCTAAGCATGTTTTGGTAAGTTTCTTGTGGTTATTTCCATTCTAGCCCTGTTAATTTCAGTAGAGACCAGCTACACTTTTCTGACGAATCAATCCTGGAATACAATTAAAATTCCAGTGCAATAAGAAAGTTTTATTGGTCAAGCATTTTTTAGTGAGGGATATCTCTTGAAATTCATTGAGGTGTCAGTGTTGCATGGTATTGTACAATGTTGCATTGTTCTTTTTTTTTTTTTTTTTCCGCTGGGAACTGACCTCATATTTGTTCCTTTGTTTGCAGTGCATATAGGTCCTGTTTAATGGCTGAATCAATCTATCTAAATCAAATAAAAGCACCTGTACACATAACAATTATTTTTGAAAGCTCTAATTTTCCTTAAAAATATAAAAAGCATCTTCCAGCTGCTTTGTATTATTCATACATCCCCTTTTGAGTTGGCAATGTAGAAAATAACGTGATTTCCATTAAGATTCCTAATGTGACTGAGTAGGGCCTCTCACATGTAGCTGTTTCCTTATCCAAGGAAAGGAAAATAGTTTCTGTTTGAAGGAGCTGGGTAGCAACAGGTTCTTTTCCATATTACAATTGCAACTGAGCCCTGATTTAGCAACAGCTTGTGACCTCACTGTGGCACAGTGTGGACATAGATGAAGATGGCAGCACCATAAACTGAATCAGAAGTTGTACCTCCAGCAGGAGACATGAATAAATGATAAAGTAGAGCAAATATGAAAAATAAGTTTGTAGTCTGCAAAAGCTGAGAGACTGGAATAATATCTGGAATCTGGACAAGAGAATAACAAAAATGGGACGTGAATTAGCATGTTGTGACGGGACAGCCCAATCAGTGATTCATTTTATGAAACTGTTAACAACAAGAACAGATCTGAGAGCTTAGGCTTTGAGCTCCTACAAACTGGCTATCTATGCAGAAGCTGAGTCAACGGGGTGTTCCCATCATAAGCCATGGAAAAACATCCAATTCTTTTCTCCTTGCTTGCCAATTTAGAATGTTACACCCTTTTTTCACGTGACTAATGGCTCGTATCTTGGAAACTTGATCACTTTGTTGTTACAAAGGGCAATGATGCTGCAGGTAGATTAAGGCATTGACCTGTCACTTCGGAAAGCTGGTATTCAAACTTGATAAGAAGGAAATTATTCGGATTTTTACAGTCAGGTATGTAAAGAGAGTACTATCTTAAGAGGAGTAAAATTGTGGTCATGGTGCATGTAGTATGCAGTTTATCTTTTCGGTCAGTAGGTGGCATTGTTGAATTTTAGAATCACCCTTGGTACAGATCCAGTTCTCTGTCTTCAGCAATTAAAAGGCAATTGTTCTTAGGGCCTTCAGCCACCTAACCGTAGATCTGAGGTTACTGAAATACTACATTTGAAGAACATACAGATAATACAGTGATTGGTGTTGTTTTCGGATGTGTAAAAAAAGGACTCAATCTCAGAATTCTATTAAATTTGCAGGGAAGACAGGAGGGACACTTCTTTTTCCCTTCTGACACCCTGCTAGTAGGTGTTTTTTCTCTTATACACTGCAGAATGTCTTAAAGGATTTGTGAGTATAATGGCAGGGATTTTTGGTAGAGTTTTTTTGCTTGTTTTTTTCACATTGTACAACTTTGATCACTTAAGTACTTCACCACATCTTCCATGTGGTTGATGTGATGTAGCCAGTGTGGTTTGTTTCAACTTGAAAGGTAGAGCTTAAGGTTCTTTAGGAAGAAATCACTCAAGGAAAGCCACAAGCATTTTGTTGCCAAGTGCTTCCAAGTACTAAGGCTACCTTTGTGCTTAGTTCTAAGTTTTCAAATATGTGACAGTAAGCCAGTAATAAGGTAGTGGTAGGCTAGTGATGATGTATCACTTTGGTTGTCTCTTGATATGGTGACTTGTAAGACAAATAAATGTGCTTAGTACCCTCATCTGTGTCAGTTTGGGGATTTTGAGTCACTGCTGGACATTAAAATGTTGTGTTTTTTTCCCAGTCAAACACACTAGACAACATCGCTTACATCATGCCTGGACTTTGATGGGAAAGGATCCTGGGATTTACTCAACTTCTGCGTGCACTGACCTGTGTGCACGTGCGTTACACCGGCACTCCCTAGGGGCTCCACATGTAATGTTTTTGAAGTTTTATATATGTATATTACATGCATAGGATTGTATTTTATGAAAAGTTGTGAAGCTGAGAGAACCATAATCTCTTGGTGGATGAAATGTGATCCGATATGGAAATATTTGTAAAAGGAATTCAGAAAGTTTTTGAGATATTAGCCTTAAATACAGATCCTTTAATGGGGGAAGCAGCCAGAGAAGGTACTTTTGGATGTAAGGAAAAACATGTAACTGTGAGAGCAGTCATTGAAACAGGTAGCCCAGAGAGGTTGTTGAATCTCCATCCTTGAAGATGGAGCTTTCTCTAGCTGAACTTACTTTAGAAGCAGGGGTTGGATGGTTTGGTTAAATCCTTCACGAGTATTCTGTGAGCCGGTAGAGATGGTAGAATATTTTGGATCAAGGAATGGAACTGAACTCATCACCAGCCCCATTTCTGTTCTTGAGTTTAAAATCTGCTTGAGGGGAAAGCTGGATTGCTGAGCAAGGATACAGAGAGCTTTGCCTCTTGATCACATCTTCTAAGCCTGCTCTTCAGTCAGTAAATAGCTGAAAGTTGTCAGTGTCAGCTCACCGGTCTGGTAGCTGGCATTTGAAATGAAGTTGAAGATAACAATTTAATCTTTTCTTGTGGACGTGCACCCAAGTCATCCCTAGTTTGATGTATCAACAGACTTTCTTGGCTTCAGAGAACGGACTTCCTGCTGATTTTTCCAGGGCGTGGTCAGCCTGCTTTGATGGAGGGCGATAGCAAATGGGAAAATAATTGATTGAAAACTTTGATTTCTGAGACTGCTGACCCCCTTCTCTTTCACCAGCAGCATTGAAAGAGCCACGGTGCTGCTGTGGGATGGTGGCTGATTGCCAGTTAGAAGCAGTTACAGCTGACCAAGGCACGTGTGTGTTGACAGGACTGGTCCCCCTTTCCTGCCACGTGCTCAGTGTTTGGCTTTCCGCTCCTCTAGAAGAGCTGTAGGAAAGCACCTGATTTTCATATAGGCTTTTGTGTGTCTATATGTGTTTACGTGGTGTTCATATCATATGTATTTAACTTTTACCAATATCTAACAGATTTTAATTTATCCTGTACATTACTGTGTACATATATATATGTGTATATACATAATTTAAGAGCAGAAATCCCTCCCTCCACAATCAGTGGGATCAGGTTCGCCTCACAACTCTTCCTGCAGGAATCAGCTGTGTGTGCAGCACTACGCATCGGCAGCACGTGGGGAAAACCGTGAGCATTTGCAGAAACAGGCTGGCTTGTGAAGCTGAGTTTTCCTCCAGCACCTCCAGCCTCATAGCCAGGTGCTCTGACTCTCACATCTGTGTTCTTGACCTGAGCCTCCGACCCAGGCAGACACATTTTAACGCAAAGGGACAGAGGGATCCTCTTCAGCTTTGTCTTCTCTACAACGGAAACCTCCTGGAGAGCGACAAACTGCACCCAACCCTGCTGTATTGTATTTGTATTTAAAATTTGTACACTTTGTATAATCTGTATCTTGTGGTATTTGGTACTAGAGGGAAAACTTTGGCAAGACTTAGCAGTTTTTATATTTTTGTTATTTCCTTGCCGTTTGATCCAGACGCCCTTACAACACCAACCTTTTTGTACTGTCCTGACAATATAATTTCTTTTTTAACGCTTGGAGTGCTCTCATCCATTTGCGGCGCACATTACTACCGGCCGCGTCCTTCAGCCCCGCGCTGGCGCCGGGCGGAGGCCTCTGTCGTCACGCCGAGACCCGCCCCGGCCTGGCCCGGCGCGCGGTCACGTGAGCGGCGGCGGCACAGTCAGCTGATCGCGGCGCGATGGACTTTCTGCTCGGGAATCCCTTCAGCTCCCCAGTGGGGCAGCGTATCGGTGAGTCCCCCGCTCTCGCGCCGTCCCCGCGCGCGCCCCCGTTCCCTCTCCCCCGCGCGCCCCCCGTGGGAGCTTGCCTCTGTGCCCGGCCGCCCGCCCTCCCGCAGGACCCCTTGCCTGCGAGAAGCGGCCGGCCCCGCCCTCGCGGTGGGATGCGGAGGGAGGCGGCCTCTGAGAGGGGAGCTCCGCTGTGACTGACGGCCGTCTTCGACCAATAGAGAAAGCGCAGCCCGTGGCGGTGCCGTCGGCGGCCCCGCCGGCCAATCCGGGCGTGGAGGGGTCTTGAGGTGGCGAGGCGAAGTTTCCTCACTTAAAGGGGCCGAGGAGCGGTGGTCCGAGCCACGCCCCCTGGCGGCGCTGAGGTCCGTGATTGGCTCGGGGCCATTCCCGCCTGCACCTCTTGGGGAGCTTCGCGGGGAACCCACCGTGCGTGGGCTGCTGATTGGCTGAGCTCCAGCCACAGTGGCCTCTCGGCGCTCTGGGCGGGAAGGCACCTTTAGCTACCTGAAGAGGCATGGGGGGCAGTTGGCACAGAGCTAGGGCTGCCCAGGGGCGGGAACTTCGGGCTGGCTGAGACCTGCCGTCTGATGGTTTGTCTAGAGGGATCCTCACCCAGCAGCACCCAACACTGTACTGGCGGCCCTGCTGGCTCTGCCCTGCACCACAGGCCGGATCACAGGGTAGAGCCCCAGCTCTAGCAGTGGTATAAGTGTGGCATCCACTTAGTGACCTTTCAGGCTTGCAGGCATTAAGCGTTTTAGTCCCTGTGCTAAAGACAGATTGCTGAGCACAGAAGAAAATAGCTCAAGAAAGTGGAGCAAAGAGAAAGAATAAGGCCATGGGCAGCTACACTGGTCTCAAAGCAGAGATGCAGTTCTTAAAGTACTTGGAATAAAGATTCTTTTGTTCTCATGTTGTACCATCTGAATGCCTTCAGGTTGTGCTTGAAGAAATGTGGTTGATGTTTCCTGCTTGATGTCTCTGTCTTGTGCAATTTGGCCGTTTCTTGTTTATGCAGTTGCTCAGTGTTGCTTTCGGTTGCCTGTGCAAATCTTTGTGCTGTTCTTCTCTGAAACCCCTGGTTCAATGCATTTGCAGGGGTGAACAGCATGCTGTGAGTGAGGTGGAAAAGGAGAAAACTGCTGCACTTCTTTAAATGCACACACCAGTGTCCAAAGAAACAGTGGGCATTGTGATGTGAAACTCAAGTACTGGGTGGGATTGGTGAGATGCAACTACAACAAGTTGGGGGAAGGTTGACTTTAATCTTCCCAAACAACGGAAGGTTTTCAATACAGAACACCTCTACGTGATATTTGATGCCTTCCCAGATGGCAGTCACATGTTTCATCCTGCTTCCCAGGAGATGCGGTCTCCTGCCCTTTTTGATTATTCTAGGAGAGTATCAGATACGTTGTTGTGTCTGGGTCCAGGCAAACTGAAGTCATCTTTAGGTGTTACAGAGTACTTTGTGCCCTCTGGGTCTTCTGAGCAGTTTATTGAGCAGTCAGATGTAAGTGGTTTCCTTGCTGGGCTTTACTTCTCGTAAAGAAGGGATTTTCAAGCAACAAACCAACAACAAAGAAGAGGAGGAAATTGTTTCAAGAGTGCTGTCAAACAGGAGCTTAGAGTCCATAGTACTAGATGTGTGACAGCAGAAAAATCTTAATGATTGGCATTGACTGGGGTTATTGGAGTCCAAAGGGGTGGAGGATTTGCAGTGTATGAGAAAAGGAATTGAGGTGTGGAAGACTTAAAAAGGGCTGTCAGCTGTAAATACGAGTGTTTTCTCCTTTTGAACATTGCCTAACAACATCCTGGGGTCATAGATAAATGCTATCTTTACTTTTTAATTTGAGACGCGAACAAGACTTACCTGAAGTTGTTTGGTAGGTCCGTGGCAGCTGCACACTGTGCCCATGAACCTGTTCACCAAGCCTGCATGGTGCTGCCGTTTCGGGCTGTCTGCAGAAAGCTGATATTGCATGTCTGTAAATTACTTGGGCAGAGTGATGTATGCCTGATACATCTTATAAGGTATAAAACAGCTTTAGATGAAGGCTATGGAATGAAAAGGAAGTACTCTGGTGCAGATTGATGTTCTCAAATTCCTTCATTAATGTTAATCTAGCAAGTCCCACTTGTTTTGCTGAGAAGGAAACACACTCAGATAATCTCAGTGATTTTTTACAAAAAGTATCAGTTGCAGAGGAGTAGGTTTACACCTTTTTATTCCCAATTCTGAGATTTCATCACAGAATTTCCCTTTTGTCCTGGTTTTGGACTGTGATCTCTTTCCCTAAGTAAGGTGAATACAGCCTTTAAAAAAATGAAGTACTTCTAACCAACGGAGAAATTTCTGAAGAGTGCTAAAGCATTGTAGTTTGGGTTCTACCAATGAAAGGGCAATTCACTTGGCTTCTACCTGGGAGGTAAAAGAAACGTCAGAGTGGAAAACCTGCTTTCAAGGATGCTCTGATAGTAACAAGGCAGAGTGAGAGAATAGAGAGGAAATGAACAGTACTCTTTTCTGAACCCTGAAGTCTGGAATAGCTCGTAATTATAGCAGTACTGAAAAGGAAAGAGTTTTTTTTTTCTGTGAATGAGGGCAGAAGGCAAGGGAGAGAAGTAAAAATGTGCTATGGAGCTGGAGGGGAGTTTTTTATGTTTGGGTGTGGGTTAAGCATGATAACCAGGAAAATTGAGGCTGGCAAGAGAGAGCAAGTGAGAGAGCAGATTGCTTCTGCTCATGGTTGAGGGAGAGCAGCAGATAAAATAGAATGTGCCTCAGAGCTATTTAAATCCCAAACCCTCTGCAAGTTGATCCTTAGGAGCTGGTGGGAAGCAGATACCATCTGCTGTTAATTAGCATTCTCTTTCCTGTTGGGTTTCTGCAACATAGTGCTTCTTAGCAAGGCTCAGTCTTGTCTTCTGTGCTGTGAAATTGATGAAGAGCTCTCGGATCCCCGAGACTTTGAGCTGATTCACAGCAAAGGACAGGAGGATAAGTTCAGAGACACAAATACCCGAAGCATTGTGGTAGATCAAGTACATGTCCATCACCACTCTTGAATTAAGACTGGAGATATATCTCAGCTTTCTCTGGAAAGCAAGCTGTCTGTCCCCTGCATCTTTGGAAGAAAGGAAGAAAGGGCAAGGCTGAAGAGGGGAGTCCTGCCTGAGCCGGTACTGAAGATTCCTTGTGAGAAGTGAAAGCATGAGGCTTCTTGAGGTGACTTTCCACAGGATGCTGATTTGGTCCAGGGGGTATTACGAATTGAAGGGAGGTTGGGAGAAAGTTTGGATTGCTTTCTGCTGAACCTATGCTGTCTTGTGCAACAAAATGCTGGTGCTCTCAAACTCTTGTTGGAATTGGTGAGAATGCTTTGCAAGGAATTTGAAGCCAGCAGGACTGAGTGCCAAAGGCAGTCTTGCAAAGGGCCTGACTTGCAGCAGAGCGCTGGTCTCTGACAAGCTACAGTAGAGCGTGAAGGGTACAGGTGAAGGGTTTCTGAATGCCACCTGGCTTGTTATGGATATTTCAGGCCTTTGAAGGGGAGGAAAAGGAGCTGGATTCTGTTTGGTATTACCTGTCCCTGGCTCCCGTACATTGCTGTGCTGCTGACTGTACCACTGGGAATGGCTACATGGCCAGCCCAGTGGTGGGCCCTCCCCTGCCACATAGGAAGAAGCAAGAATCTAGGAAGGAAACAAAGCCATGAAATTCACACCTGGCACAATGCAAGGTGCTACTCCAGTGGATCAGTTATGCTGAGTTCAAAATAATTTCTTATCTTACATTACCGGATGCATTAGTGGCTTACAGTCATCAGAAATACATCAGATGCCAGAAAGGAAGATTCAGTGCTTTGTTTTGATTCATGCCACAGCTGTGATTCTGGGTTGAGGTGGGCAATTTGCAAGGCAGCACACCGGCCTCAGTCAAACCGCAGTGCTGTCACACCCAGGAAGCTGGTCTGGCCACTAAAACAACATGGCTTTGAAGCGGCCCTGCAGAGAGCCTCTTGCATACTGTATGGTCTTGGTATCAGGCTTTGAAGAAAGCAGCATTATAGACCACTGATAACCTCCCCATGAGGCATGCCCTGCGTCAGCCAGGGTCAGCTCCCAGCACACAGAACCAAAAGCTGCCTGATAAGCCCTGCCGAGCAGTGCTCCGCAGGCAGCCAGGCCCTGCCTCCTGTCCTCACTGTTTTTAGGGACTTGTCGGCATGTCAGGCTCAGATTTTATAAGGGGCAGACAGCTCATGTGCTAATTACAGCTCATGAAACAGGGCCAGCTGCTCTGATCTTTCACATGGCTAATGAATATACTGTTTCCTTTCTTTCTGCAGGCTTTAGTAAAAGGGTAAAGTTCAGGATTTTCAGAGAAAACTCCAACACATCTTATTAGACTTGGGCAATCCTTCGGTACTTGGGAGCAAGGATTTAGAAGGCATTAGCTCCAGCCCTCCCGAGGCCAGAGAGGATGGGCCTTAATCACAGTAGGCAGATTCAAAGTGATCGCCTTCCTTTTTTCCATATGCCCTAATTCTGCTATTCCAGCTGCACATTTTCTAACTTCACATTGCATTTATGGCAGGTTTGCTGCTTTCCTGCAGCTTTTCACTCACCAGCCTCCTAAGGAAGGTGGCAGTGACAGGATCACTGCCCCACTGTGAGGTGACTGCGAGCTGTATATGTCACCTCTGAGGAATCCCCACTTTCTGTACCAGCCAGCCAGGTGAAGGAGTGTGCATGGTTTGTTTGCATTCCTTT